AATACAACTGAAACATGCAATTGAATATAATATCAAAAACTACTCATATTATCTACAGGCAAACTCAAATCCCATCCAAATGCTAACATGCACAATCATCAAAACCCTAAATCCTCCCAGCCCATTTAAACCCCAAATCGGATACCTAGCTCGACTCACCCTAGCTTGCTACTGCTCCCGGCATTGCTCTTCTCTTCCTCCGCCTCGTCCTCCTTCTCTTCGCTCCCTTCTTCTTCTTCCTCTTCCTCTTCTTCTTTAGCTGCATTCTCTTCTTCTTCCTCCTCCTCCCCTTGCTCCTCTTTGTTCTCGTTCTCGAGTTCTCTGAGGAAGAGATCGACCTGTTCTCTGATGAACGGTTTCTTGTCGCTGAGATCGAGGTCTAAGTCCGCCTCCAGCTGGCGGCGGACGGACGCGGTGGTCCGCAGCCTCTCCACGAGCTCGCCATCTGTAACCATTTCCTCTTCTGGATTTCTTTTGATTTTTCTTCACTCGATTTTGGTTACTTTTTCATCGCAGAGATTTTGGCTTCCTATGGCTTGGGGAAGGGTTGATTAAAAAAGCAACGTATTTTAGGGTAGAATTGGAAATGGAGAAATAACATGCAAGAAAATAGCTAAAAATCATATATATCATAACATATCATATCATATCATATTACATCATATCATATCATACTCCATTTAAAAGTACGAGTTCAGAAAAATCTTTCGGTAGACAAAAATACCCTTGAAATTTTTCCATTAAGTAAAATTAAATTAATAAATTAATGAATTCTTATTGGATATATATATAATGAAGATAAGAATATAGTTTAAATTGAAAAGTAAACCTGAACGAAATTATTAAATGCCAAATTTATAAATGTACACAAGATGAAGGGCGTTTATGTAAAAACCAAATAAATTAACGAGACATAATGTCTGCCCCAAAGGTCAAACCCAGGAACAACGCAGAGCTACACATGTACATAATGTGAAAGGGATATTGGCAAAATCTACCAAACAAATTAAAGAGACAAAAATCGTTCTCAAAATTATAAAAAAGAAAAATTAAAGTAAACAGCTGCGGACCGAGGACACAGCGTGATAATCTCTCACCGACTAAAATTCAAGTAGTTCATGGAACTATATAATTAGTTTTAAATTTTAATTATACTATTATTATTTAAATAGAACTCTATTTACAATTGTTGTCCTCTCAGATGCAATATCACATACTAATATACATAAGCTAAGAAATTACAACAGTTTTTATAGCACTTTCATCTCCTTCTATAGATATGTGTCTTTGTTATTTTCTTCTTATTAGATTAGATTAGATTATTTTAAATTAATTAATTATATTGTATATTTAATTTTTTCATATCAAAAAATAGTAATAATTTTTACAGCACTTTCATCTATTTTCTTCTTATTAAATTAGATTAGATTATTTTAAAGTAATTAATTATATTGTATGTTTAATCTTTTTTTAGATCAGAAATTGCAATAATTTTCATAACACTTTTATCTCCCTCAACAGGTTTGTGTCTTTGTTATTTTCTTCTTATTAGATTATATTATTATATTTAATTAGAATGTTTAAAAATTATGAATTATGAAATTACAACAATTTTCACATTACTTTTATCCATTTTCTTCTTATTAGATTAGATTAGATTGTTTTAAAGTAATTAATTATATTGTATATTTGATCTTTTTCAGATCACAAAGTTTAATTATACTATTATTATTTATATAGATACTGTTTGTATAAAAGTCAAAGAGAATCGCACATGTATCTTAGATCTCAATACCAATTGTAATACTTATATATGAGTATTGGTTAAAATAAATTTTATGTATGGCTTTAACTTATATGATCCTACTTTAACTGGATTAGATAATTTAAATCTTTTTACACCCAAACTCTTCCACAAAATCAAAAGAGAGTAGCAATGATATAGCTATATATATCCACAAGACCACAAATACCTTGAAAATGAACGAAGAAAATCATACAAAAAACCATAGTAATTACCCCCACACACCCACTGTTGTCAAAACCACACTTCTCCATCTTCATCTATAATATATCCACATACACAAACTAAGCTACTAGAGTTCCCCCTTACCAACTACACCATTGATCAATCTTCCTTTTCTTTGTATTTAAATTGTATAACATTTATTGTGACGATGACTCACCTAGGTCCTCTGTATGCCTTAAACTCCCAATAAAAAAATAATGTACTAGACATTATAGTTAGTTAATAACGAGATCATGTCATTATATACAACTTAAAAAAAGATTAATAATTCTTAATAATGTACTACGTTCCCCTAGCTTCCACAGCAAACTTGTTAGTTGTTTATTCCTGGTCCCATGAGATTTTCAAAATTAATCTTAAGAATCGCTTGCATTAAAAAAGCTATGTTAGAGGGCCTATAGATTATGTTTTATAGTTTAAGATTGTCAAACACATTTTTATCTCTCATGCATATCAATTATGAGTGATAATATAATTTGATTGATCCAAGTATATACTAATATATTTCTAGACTATTGTCTTGTTTTTTACTCTTTATGATATACTAACATGATATCACAATTGATGTAGACGATGAAGACACTATTGTAAATTTGCCCAGGAAAAAGATAATGGTGGAGAAGGATTAATATCGGCTTAATTAAATATGAAAAAATGAATAAATGATAATAGTTTTTTTAATATTTTATAGTAAAACTTAATTTTTGAGTAAAATTAGGAATCTTTAGAAGGGTTTTTTATGCAATTTTTTTAATATGCTTATGTGAATGATTTTCATATAAAATTATACTACAGTCATCATTATTCTTTAGTATTTTTTATTTTAAGTCCATCTATAATTAAGATGTCTTATAGTCTTGTGAAACGTATGTGCTCTATGCTGAGCTTATACAAACCATCTTAATATTAAGTATTTGGTTATATTTTTACAAACACATAAATAATATATTATTATATTTTTTAAACTTAACACTACATTTAATGACTAGGATAAACAAATTGCAGATCGATGATTTGATCTGATAAACAAATGTGTTACATGAAGTTTGATGTATACAAACTTTAAAAAAATAATATTGTGTATGCAAGTATAAAACTATATTGATCCCTATTTTACACATAAATCTATTTCATAAAAAAATTTTAAATTGTTTAAATATAATTTATGGCAAATATAATAATCCATGTTTGTAGATTTTAACTCAAAATGAATCTGACTTATTTTATTGTAAGAAAATAAACAAAATTAATAATAATAATTTTGATATTTAATCGCGTGCATTGCACGTGCACAAGAACTAGTGTGTGTGTGTGTGTGTGTGTATATACTAGTTGAGATGCATGTGCAATGCACGTGGTTGAATATCATAATTATTTAAATTGATAAAAGTAGAATAAAAATAAAAAAGAAAATAAAGTTTTTTGTAGGTTTGATAGAAGTAAAACTTTAATAAACTTTTACCAAACCCAAGTAAAACTGTAAATTACAAACACCTTAAAAATATTACAAACACGCAATTGAGGAGCAACACTTGTACTTGAAGGATTGATTAACTTTTATTCTTTGAAAAATATTACAAAGAATAATATCATCAAGGTATGATTCAGCATTCTCCGTATCATAGAAATAAAATTAAAAGTATGAAGAATTATTTCCTTACGAAATTAGAGCAGAGATATTATGATATATTTTCTCATGTGCTCTAAATATAAAATTTTTATTTTCTTTGATGCAAGGTCCCTATTATATATTGCTCCAAATGGTGTGAATAAAAAATGTTATTATAACTTACTTGCCTAGCGCAATTATATTGTATATAGGACATATAACTCATCTGGAATATCCACATATGCTAAATGGATTTTGCTATTGCGAGAGCAAAATGTTAGAGGCTTGTATTCAAACCTTTTGGCTCTATGAAACACACAAGAATTTAGAGTGTATAGCTTATATATTATACAGAACATACTGGCTCATGAAGAATTTTTCCTAATAACAATATTATTACAACGATACTATTATTCAATATTAAATCATATTTATTATATAAGATTATATGACTCTTTTTAATAAATTATATAAAAGGGTATTTGTATTTTTCCCTAATTTCTCTAGAATTTTTCACGATTTAAAAATACGGTATTATATTATTTTAATAGTTTTGCTAATTATAAATTTAATTTTTTCAGTAAACCTTTTAAATTAATAGTTAATTATTCATTATTATTATTGTTATTATTATTTTGACCATAAATTTTTAATATTTATTTGAATAAATTTTTAATATTTTTAAATTATTATTATTATTTTGACCATAAATTTTTAATATTTATTTGAATAAATTTTTAATATTTTTAAATTATTATTTAAAGGGGTATTTTTTCCTGTGTTTTTTCTACGGTATTTCACTCTGTTTCTCTCTCTCCCTCTTCATCTCTCTCACACTCTCTCCCCCCTACCCCACTTCCCCTAAATCCCTCCCTAATTCCCACACTACCACCACCTCGTGTTTCCCCCCAACTCCTCAAAAAATCCCTGTGATTCTCACTTTCTCTCTCTCACCCAGCTCTCACACACTCTCTCGCTATCACTCTCACTCTCATTCTCTCATTTTTCTCTCTCTTCCCCTCTCGTTTTCCCTCCCTTACCGTGAGCTCCTCCACCCACTCACCACCGTCGACCACCTGAGCCGCCGACTTCCAGCCCAACCTTCCTCCCGCTGCCCTTGGCCACCGCTTGAGCCCAGGCTCCGACCAGCGACTCACTCCCATGCTCAACTCCCTCTCTCCTCCACTCAACGCCCATGCCATCGCCGTGCTCGCTCCCTTGACCGTCGCCTGAGATGCCACCACTGCTAGCCGAGCTCCCCTCAGTTGCCGCCCAACTCCCCACCTCCAGCTCCTCCTCTTCAATCCCCGACACCAAACACCCCTTCATCGCCCTCACGCCGCTGTCGACAGCGTCTCCGAGCTCCTCCTCCATCGCCGTCAAGAAATCGCTAACCAGCCCGTCGTCACCCACCTTTATCACCATTGTCCCAAACCTATAGCCACCCCCATCGCCGCCAACAACCTCCAGCAGCCTACCGTCGACGAGCTCGAATTAGTGAGCTCACTGCAGAAAACTACAGTTCGGAGCCAACTTCGTGCGCGTTTTTCGGCCAACTCCGACTTTCGTTTCCTTCGATTCCTTCACCGGTGTGTAGCCCTTCGTGTTGTCTATCACACGGTGTATTCCTTTCACTTGGGCTCCCTATCTACATCTCGTTATATTTGTTTTAATATCGCACGTCGCATTAACACTCTAATTGTAATTTTAGCTGTCGATTCCGCGAAACTCGTCGTAACGTCGTGCAACTACCTCGACGACCCCCACTACGGTCCAAGGCAAGATCTCACTTGCTCAGAACTGAAATTTTATATTTA